CCCTGAGCACGCTCTGTAGCGGGGTGGACACCCACTCCTGCCCTGAAGGGCTTAAAACAGCCCTGGGGGAAGGTTGTGGCTGGGAGCTGCTAAGCTGGGATGATTGGGAAGCAGCTGCAGCTGGGCCACACCCCAATCAGGCCTCCGCTGGCCCTATATAAAAAGGCTGTGAGTCAGAAACCAAGCAGTTTCTCTCTGCTTTCAGAGGGAGAAGGGCCTGGCTGTAGTGAGCTAGAGGCAGAGTACCTGAGTGGAGCAGGGCTGGGGACAGGCTGGGGAGCTCCAGCCTGGAAAGCCCTAGGCTGTGGCCTAGTAGGAGAGCAAGGGGTACTGGGGGTTGCTGAGGGCAGCCCAGGGGTAGGCCAAGACAGCAGGTCCAAACCCAACCTTGCCTGTGATGAGTGGCCTATACTGCAGTCTGCCCCAGGGAGTGAGGGTTAGTTGGTGACTGGCAGTGGCCTTATTCTGAGGCAAGATAGGGATAGTGGGTGGGGGTTCCCTGGGGAGGGGAGACCCTAGTACTGAGGGGTGTACTGCCAGAGGGCAGCACCCCCAGATAAAAGGGCACTGGTGTCTGGGAGGGACACAGGGGCTGGAGGACAGGCAGACCACTGGCCTGCAGGGGGCGCACCAATGTTGAAATGAGCTAATTCCTGAGCTGACCAGCAGGAGGTGCTGCAGGGGTGAGTCTGCTCCTCTACAGGGGATTTGAAAGCAGCCTTTAACTACCTGAAGGGGGTTCCAAAGAGGATGGAGCTCAGCTGTTCTCAATGGTGGCATATGACAGAACAAGAAGCACTGGTCTCAAGTTGCAGTGGGGGAGGTCTAGGTTGGATATTAGGAAACACTATTTCACTAGGAGGATGGTGAAGCACTGGAATGGGTTACCTAGGGAGGTGGTGGAATCTCCATCCTTAGAGGTTTTTAAGGCCCAGCTTGACAAAGCCCTGGCTGGGATGATTTAGTTGGGAATTGGTCCTGCTTTGAGCAGCGGATTGGACTAGATGACCTCCTGAGGTCTCTTCCAACCCTAATATTCTATGATTACTAATATTATCTATTTGGATTGCAGTAGCGCTTAACAGCCCCAACTACACCAAGGCTGGGCTAGGCCAGAGGTTCTGCTGTTACAGAGAACGGCTGCGCTAAATAATGAATAATACCACCTAAACTTTTCTATAGATTTTTTTTTCATCAGTAGATCTAAAAGCACTTTAAAAAGGAAAACTGTGTTATTACTCCTAGTTTACAGAGAGGAAACTGAGGCACAGAGCGGCAAAGTGACATGCCCAAAGTCACCTGGCAGGCCAATATTAGAGTCAGGAATAGAAATCAGGTCTCCTGAGTGATAGGCCAGTGATCTACCCACTAGGAAACACTGCTGCCTCCTCTCCTCCTTCTCCAGAGCCAAAGTGCTTGTCTACATGTTTTATCAGTTATACTGGTATAATGCTATCAGCATAGTTAAACTGATACAGTGATACCAGTGTAACTACCCCATATGGATACCCATTCCCATTTAAGAGTGGCTTTATTCCCCCCACCAGTTTAGTTTAAACTTCTTCCAAAGTGACATAAGTTAAACCAAACAAAGGCACTCAAATGGGAATCGGAGTGTTCACCCGGGGAGTTACATCGGTATCACTAGAGTGCTTCCTGCAGCTGCCATGGCCATCTCCTGTTCCCAGCCTGCCCTACCCTCTCTCTTTAGGGGACTCCGGCTCCCTAGAGGTCCCCAGAGTGGAGACTGCAGCTGCTTTGTACTGCTGCAACCCTTCCCTTGCTGTGGGAATTCTATCACGGGGGGTCTCCATCATATTGTATGGGGGCAGAAATCAGCATGGATCTTGAGCTGGATCCTGGCCCACACTTAGTTCAATTAAACCAATTGTGTTTTCAAGTGTTAAAGATTAATGTACACATTTGAAATGTGTACTAAGGGTACACACTAAGGGTACCTGCTCATTCTCTCTGCTCTCCACCACACACACCTGCAATCAATAAGAATCTTAATTGAATATTTCAAGTTGGTGCAAGTGTCTTTGTGAATTCTCAGATTAATTTGAAATGGAGAAAGTCCTATGGGTAAATCAAGTGCGATGGCGGATTGTTCCAGCCTCACAGAGTTCAAAAGCCAGATGATATTGTTTTATCCTAACAGAGTAATACCAACCTATCTCTGGTCCCAGATGCGAGGACTTCAGAGATCCTGCTGAGGACACAACAGCGCATTGACGGAAGTGGCCAACTTCTTGGCTGAGGTTTTTTCTTGGTAGATACATCTGCCATTCAGAGGTATTGAATGGACCGTCTGACCCATGGATCATTGTCACATTCACTCTGTCCCGGAGCTGGCACAGCAGTTTCTCCGGACTGAGTTTGGCAGTATTCCTTTGCCCTTTGTAAGTCACATTGTACTTGTTCATGGACAGGTAATTGTTTTTGACCTTTCGCAGCCTGGGTATGAGATTCTTTGATGAACTGTCCTCATTCCAGACATTCACAGAGAGCAATGATTTCTTGTACTTTGCCACTGCATTGTTTCCTGGAGGGGTTGGAGAGATGCTGCCATTTACTTTCTCCATTTTGACCAGTAAAGCAACAGATAACTGGTCGTTCTCATTGACATCTTTGCTTGAAAGAAGTCGGGATGTAAGTACATCTCCTTTTCCCAGAGCTCTGGGAATCTGAAAACTTTTGCTTTCTGTTTTGGAGGGAATATAGTAGCCTTTTCTTGTTTCCCCCCACAAGCAAATAGTCAGAACCACAAGCAATAACAAGAGTCCACACATTTTTTTCAATAGATTGATGTGAACCATAATGTATGGTGCATCAGAATGAGGTGATTAACGATGCTGGGCCTGAAAAAGAGGGCAAGAAACAACTAATCAAAAGAAGCAGTGGGGGAACTAGAATTTTTTTCCAGACTTCTCAATCCATCTAAAGGCCTGATCTAAAGCCACTAGCATCAATGGAAAGACTTTACTGGGCTTGGATGAGGTCCTAAATTCAATATCAACCCAGGCCCATGCTCCTTATTGAGTTATATGGGAGACCTCCCTCATCCCCAATTCTATATTTTTCCTTCTCCAAAGAGTGTATGGGTGCAGAACTTTCATGCCAGGTTAGGTGAAAATCCCCACTTTACTATTTTTTAAATAGATATTTAATGTCTGAAACAACATCACCATCATCAAGGCTCCCTGCCTGAATCTGTCCCTGGTTCTTGCCTGTGGTCAGAAACTACCATTTCAATAACAAAGTTTGTTTAAAGAACACTGTGGAAAATGCAAATTTTATAAACATCATGTGAGTTTCAAGATAGCTACACTGAAACCTTAGTGAGCTCATAGGAAACTTCTGCAAATCTGTAAGTGACTGACAGCACTCCCAACATGTAGTGTCATTAAACAGCTGGCTGGAGCCAATGAGTCTACATTAGTGTTTTGTTTTTTTAATTTTTTTATTCTCAAAATGCTCTTGGTTTGATATTAATTTAGGGTACAATACAGAATATCTGGGGGAAGCGAGGAAGCTTTCTGCAGCACAGTGCTCCAACAAATGCAGAACACCCCACCTTCAGCAGAAAATAATTTCAGCAGCTGCATGGAGGAGACGGAGAGTTTGTTGTTTAGGGGAAAGACATTCTGTTGCTAGAGTGTTGTGATGCAGAGGCAGAAAATCAACAGCAGGAAAACACAGGTCAATTCATTATTCAACCTCTGTTCAAAGCCCAAGGAAACACAAGGGGACAGGTGTAAACGAAGATATGCTGGCAGTCTAAAAGCAGCTGTGGCATTTACAGCAGTGCATGGTGCCTGGACATAGGTGGGCAATGAAGGTGACCAGAGAGCATGGTTGCCAGCTCTGTACATGCCAGTGCCTTCAGGTGTGTTGCTCAAGCTATGTCGATACTTAGCTGTGCCGCTGTAGCACTTCTGTGTAGCCACTCGCTACAGCAATGGGAGGGTTTCTCCTATCACATTAGTTCATCCACCTCCCCAAGAGGCAGTAGCTAGGTTGATGGAAGAATTTGTCTATTGACCTAGTGCTGTCTACACTAGGGTTAGGTCGGCTTAACTACGTCGCTCAGGGGTGTAGGTTTTTCACACCCCTGAGTGACGTAGGCAGGCCAACTTAACTTTTTAGTGTAGACCCGCCCTCATGATATGAGAGCAGCAAAGAGAGGGCAGATGCTCGAGTGGTGTAATAGGGCCAAGAACAAGGAATTGGAACTGCTGTGCAGAGGAGCTGGGCCCTGGCTCTCCATACCCTACATGTCTGTATCTGACTCCCAGGGTGAAGAGAGTAGTCTGGCCACCTTGCAATCCAACACAGGGGAATGGTTTCCCACTCCAGAAGTGCACAGGAGTTGGTGGGGAACTAGCAACCATACGCACAGTGCCTGTTACTTGGGATCGGTGCTGGAAGTAATTTTTCTGGCCTAGAGCCATAGGCAACGCTTCTGTTCTTCGGGATGTATTAATTTCATTGTTCAGGGTTTATTTTTAGCAATTTTTGAGTTCTATGTAAATGTCCAAAAACAAGTGGGGTTCAGGGTTTACTGTAATTAATTTAGTATACATCATAATGAGTTATATTACTTATTACAGTAGTATATATAATGAGTACTCTTTTTAATGTTTCTTAGTGCATTTTAATATAGTGCTGTTTGAAACAGTACTACAATTAAAGCACACTAAGGAACCTTTAGTGCACACCAGCAGGGTATAGGGTACAGGCTCCATCTACGCTAGTGTGAATAGGTTCAGCACCTGAAATACAGGCAATCGAATTTTGACCTCTTGGAGCCAGTCTCATACTTCTGATTGAACAAACCCAGTATCCCCAAGTTCCAGCCATTCATTCATAAGCAATGATGTCTGACCATATAAAGTTCCCTTTATTTTCTATTTCTATCATCCGTGAACTCCCAGAGAAAGGAATGGAGCCACTTAAAAGGCAGGTGATGGTACAGACTGAGCCATGAAAAATAGATATGCAAAACTAGGGCCCAAATACGCAAACCTTTCCTTGTGTTTGTCTTAGGACTGGTCTACCTTTCAGACTTAGGTGGCTTAACTACACCCTTCAGGGCTTTCACACCCCATGCAATGTAACTAAGATGACTTAAGCGCTGGTGTAGACATCACTAGGTCAATGGAAGAATTCTTCTGCAGGCCTAGCTACTGCCTCTTGGAGAGGTGGAGTTTACTACCGTGACAGAAGAACTCCTTCTGTTACTCTAGTAATTGTCTACACTACAGTGCTGCAGCTCTGCTGCTGTAGCATTTCTAGGGTAGACATAACCCCAGCAACAGGAGCAGTCCCATTGAAGTCAGCAGGACTCATGTGAGTGAAGACTACTCAAGTCCATATAGAGCTGATCCTGGGATCCACTAAAATCAACAGGAACTTTGCCAACTTGCTCATAGGAGCAAGCCCCTGTGAACTTAACACTTAACCACTGTCTAGCACTTTACATCCTCAAAGCGCTGTCCAAATGTTGACTGACTAAAGGATTGTTATCCCAATAAAGACAATAAAATCTATTATTAGACTTCAAAACAAAGTCTCCTCTGTATTATCTGAACTGCTAATGTATTTGTTACCTGTTGTTGGCTAATACTTGAGTTAGAGCAATCACTGCTCATTTTTAAGTATCTGCAGGTTTTCTAACAATGGTGAGAAGCTGTGTTCTCTTACAAATCCAACACATCAGATTGATGAGCAGATTTCAAATAAAGGTCACAAGCCACCTGCAAAAAAAGAGAACTTTATTAGAGAAATACCAAATAGCATAGGGAACCAACAAGGATTTTCTTAGGTATGTGTTGAAGTCTTGCAGAGAGAATTCTGATAGCCAGACCTGGCTACCGCCAGCAGCAAAAAAATGTTAATCAAGTAAAATCCTTCTGAGAGCTCAAACATCTATTGAAATGAGCAGGAATTGTTCAAACTTTGCCTGTGACAAAGCAAAACATCTATCTTTCTCAGTTTAAAAAAAAAAAACCTAGAGAGTCTCACACCAAAATTTAGAGCCACCTAGCAGTTTGCATGTTCCGTCCGCAGCCTGGCTAGCAAGGATATTACAGTGCCCCCAGTATGTTTTTGGCAAATTTAAAGTGAATATGTAATGTTATTTTTAGAATCATCTAGTTAAACAGTGTCTTTGCGAGTTTCTCCTGAGTCTTAGACGCTCTGTCTTCTGACTAGTCACTTTTTGCTCTGCAAATATTTTACTGTAGGTTCTGCAAAATAAAGTGTTGTTCTTGTCTTATTCCTTCAGCACAAAAGCCACCCCACCAAACACACATGAGCCTGCTGGACAGGCTCAGTATTGCTTTTCACAATAGCACTAAAGTATTTTGCATTCAAGTATCATCCAGAGGCCCCATTAGATGAGGGCCCCACGGCACTGAGTGCTCTGCAAACGCTAGCCTAAAATAGATTATTTTCTGTTTTCAAAAACGATGTGGAGGAAGGAAACCATTACAAAGCAAGTGATGGAAGGAGCTACAGTGAAAGAGCGGGGGAGACTTTACAAACCATTATGACCCTGCAAAAAGTTACACACATGCTTAACTTTACGTTAACACTGAAGTCAGCAAAACTATGCACATGAATTAGGTACACTTGTAATTGTTTGCAGGACAGGGGCCTAGATTATTAAAACTTCTTTTAATGTCAATAGTCAGATAACATTAAAAGAGAGTGCAAATCGGCAGATTTGCAACACACATGCATTCAACCCACAGAATCAGTTGTTAAAATTCAAATATGTCCCCACTTTCATTAATGAAATTTTAATCACAAGTGTTTGTTATAACGTGCTTCAGTAGGACATAATGGTATTTGCCTTTATTGACAGTTGTACATTAAACTATTTTTTTTATAAATCTGTTGCTTGAAAGAGTTAAAGGAAGTTGTGAAGTTAAAAAATTCCTTTCAGTCAGGGGTTCTGGGGTTTGTTTTTAAACCTGTTATTGTTTCAAGTAACAAAATTACAACAACAGATTGTTTACTTGGTGTAGTGGAGAGCATCCCTGCTGGAACTAGGGGTGCTGCACCCCTTTGCTTGAAGTAGTAATAACAAACAGCAAATACATTGTTTCCAACATCAGCACCCCTGCCTTGTGCCTTGTGCCTAATCAGCTTCATGGTTTTCCCTGTACTGTTGGTAGCTCTAATTCTGCAATCAATTATGCATATACTTAATTGTTCACATTGGTAATCTCATTGGAACAAATCCCCTATTGTTTGTGTGGACCTTCTGCTCATCAAGAAGGGAGCGAAAATCATTTACCAAGTAGGAAAAATGTGGCTGTGAAACCTAATGATTTGTCAGGGAGCCTCCCGGGTAGGAGTACCACCTAAAACTGTATGTAATGCTGACAGACCACGGACGTCGTTGGGTGGGACCAAACCGGGGATCTCTAGAGCCTAGTGCATGAGCCTCTACTGCATGAGCTAAAAGCCAACTGGATGTTAGCAAAGCTGTAGAGCAGACTCATTTTCTCTCTCTCTCTAAGTGGTCTCGGTGTCACTAGATGGAACACAACACCACACCCAGAAGTTGTGTGGGTTAAACATACATTTTTTTTTAAATGTCAAGCTGATGGTGTCCATTTAATACACAGAGAATCTCCTCATAGTTTTTACCCTCTTCAATCTAATATGAACTGGCACAGCTCCGCTGACTTCAGTGGATCTATGCCAGTTTATACAAGCTGAGAGTCTGGCAATTATTTTTGGAAATTAGTACTAAGTTACTATTCATCTTTTTGCATAAGCTGGGACACAACATTAACACAGTCCACAAAAGATGGAGCTCTGAAAATACCATGTCACTGTGCATAAAGCAAGCCAGAGCATTGACAAGAATACAGTGTATTGTATACAAGGTCTGCCATGAAGCTGGTAGTGCAAGGTGTTCCCAGGCTGCTTTACAGTTTGGCTTGGTGTGTCACACTGCCGTAGTTGAGCTCAGCAGAGGTGCTTGAGCTGGACCCCCCTTGATATAAGCTAGAGGGAGCTACTGGCAGCATTCTGTGTGCGGGAGATTTTGACTTTGGAAATCCCTCCTTGCCACAGCCCAGATCTATCAGCCTTGCAGGCGTGCTGAAAAACCCATCTTTCCTCCCCACCTCTCAGACTTCTGGGCAGGTGGAGGGTAAAGAGGTTCAGTGGCTATTTATTAATGGGCAGTCTTTTATATTGTGTTAATATATGGGCACCTACAAGTGTTTTTATATACTGGGGGGAATAAAAATCTGCCAATTTCTTGTTTTTAAGAGCATAAAGGGTTGTATCTTTTGGGTCTAACCGTTTAAGTGGGAAGTGGGACTGACCTTTTCATTGCTAGGGCATTCTTTAAATCATTTACATTTTCCATGGTTAACGTTTCCCAAATTTCTTCAAACTATTTATTTAACCTAGTGACATCCTTCCCTCCCTTTTCATTTAGCTGTGATTTCACATGGGACTGCAGCCAGGAAATGCGAGAGTAGTTTGGCATTTAGCTCACATTTTCTCTTGACTGGTAGATCAGGGAGAGTAGCCAATAGGTCATATAGAAGCAGAGTCGCTACCAAAAAAATTATAGGCACCTTCACAACTTGTTTGAACTCATTCAACAGCCTGTTCCCCTCTAAGCAGCATAACCATCAAGCCTGTGTGTGTTTTAGTGCTTCCCCAACTATAGGTCTAACACTCCCCTCGATCTGTCCAGTAGGAGGTTGCCAATTCACATTGATGGGAAATCAGGTGCTTAGCACCATATTATAGCGTCCTGATCTTTGAGGGAGACCTTTGGGTGCTTCTGTAGCACAAATAATACATTGCTCCATTTTATAAGCTGGAAAGGAAAGTGAACAAACAGTTTAAAAATGGACACTACTGAATCACAAAATGTCCTCTGTTCATTTATTTTCACAACCATGGGTTAGTATTAATAATACTTCATGGTGCACTGATGTAGCATATTTGTAAAACATCACATGAGATTAACAACATGAGATTTCCCTAGATCATCCTGCGACTGAATCTGCTCTGGCAAGCGGGAAGAGAATCATTTTTCTGTGTAAATGAAAAAAAAAGAAAGGTGCAAATTAGGATAGTGCAGATAGGTGATGTTCTATTTACATAGCTGTAGATAAAATATTTGTTATAGACAGCCACATTCATTCATACACCACAGGGGTGAACATATATGTGCTCTTATAAGTGAAACTTCAGAAAGCCTACAAATATCATAATTATACCTCTTATATCAGGAATGCAGAGGTCAGATACCAGTACAGTCAAATAGGTATTTATAGCAATAATACAACATGTTGTTTTCTTCAAATCTACTGACACCTGTCAAGTGAGATTATCAAGAGTCAACTTCTACAAAGCAATAGTGCACCAATTTGTCAGCCAACGATGACAAAAATGTAAGTATTCTAGTGCCAAATCTTGGTCCTATGCACAAAGCTGAGTCAAAAGACTTTGCAGACTTCCCTAGAGCATTCCAGGAGCGAAATCCTATTCACAGGCTCGAAGATAGGCAGGCATAAGCATAAGTACCTAGCTGAACTCAACCACCAATTCTGTACCTGTAAGTATATTAGTCACAAGCCTGCCTCCTCCCACTCCCCAAACTCCTTCATGCAGCACAGGGACAGCTTCATCAAAGATCCCACTGATTTATAATGGTGAGCAATACCTATGTTAGCCTACGCCACTGAGTGGGGTGAAAGGGCAGCAGATTGCAGTGGCGGGAGGGACAGCTGCAATTGGTAGCCTGCTGGGCAGCTGCTGCACAGGGAACTTAGGGGAGCGGGGAGCTGATAGGGAGAGCTGATGGGGGGCTGCCGGTCCATCCTGGTTCCAAGCCCCCACCAGCTAGCTGCAACGGGCTGCTCTTTCTGCAAGCAGTGGACAAAACAGGCGGCTGCCAAACAACGTTAGAAGGGAGCACTGCACAACTTTAAATGAGCATGTTCCCTAACTGATCAGCAATGTAACAACAAAACAACGTTAACTTTGACGACTTTAAGTGAGGAGTTACTGTACACTACAGTGCTACATCGGCTGGTGAAGACACGTTGTGCCAATGGGAGAGTGCTCTTCTGTCAGCATAGTTACTCTACCTCGGTGAGAAGCGGAAGTTATGTCAGCGGAAGAGTGTCTCCTGCCGACATAGTGCCGGTGTGGAAACTTGCATCGCTTGAGGGAGTGTGTGGCTTTTTCACACCCCTGAGCAATGTAAGTTATATTGACTTAGGCTGTAGCGTAGACCTGCCCTAAGGGAAGAATAAGGAGCATACTTAGTGTTATGGAGGCCTAAGCTAGCAGACCAAAAAAGATGTGAACTAGGCTTATTGGAAAAGGAGGTTGGAATCTGAAGCAGAAGACATAAGGGGTGAATAACAAGGAAGGGGTAGGTGAGAACCAAACCATTACATTCAAAGATGGAGGAAGAATTAACCCCCCCAGAAATAAATCACATTAAATCCATGTCTGCTCTTCTAAAAAGTAAGAATTCCTTCACAAGGGCCTAGTTGATGCGCTGGCAAATGCCCAGGCCCTCTCTAGATAAGCCATGCCTGTGTCACTCTTGCAAAACTGATGAGGTAACTTTGGTTTTGTGATTAAACTATCTGATAAGGATAGAATGGAACATGGGTACACATTTGCCAAAGCATAGGAACTGCCCCTCTGAAAGAGTCATTAACAGATCCTATTCTCAGCAGATCCAGTTGATCCCAATAGA